TAAATAATTTTGTTCGAAGAACATTTATATGCAGTTGTACTTCGCAGCACTTCACTTGCAATTTGCAATTTCTAGTTGAAAGTATTATTGAGGCATACTGTCTGAGGCTACATGGTGAAGCTCAGGGTTTTTATATTTCCTATTGGAATATGAACTTTTTGAATTCATTTTAGTTACAAAGATATACCAAACAGTGAATCTAATCAAATATCCCTATCTAAGTGGTAATCCCTTCACAGGTGGTGGCACCAGAAACTCTCTGATAAGAAGTCAAGTTCGTATTTTTCTTCATCCCGACTGTTTAAAGAAAATTTTAATAGGCACCTTTAAATGCCCGAAATAGCACACTAAGACTTTAAAATTGCTTGTTTAAATCAGTTTTCCTGGATTAAATGATAGGCTTCTTCCTCGATCGGGGTCTCGTGGCCCCTTCACCCCCACAACTGGCACCCTTCACAAAGACAAACATACACACAAGATGCTCTTTTATGCTCTAGACCACAGGTGGGCAAAGTGCGGCCCGACAGCGATTTTTTTTGCGGCCCGCGAAAATGAATAGAAACCCCATATGTGCGGACTGTCAAGCAATATTAGCTAGAAAACACCATGTGCTTTTACGACCCGACACCGATCATAAGTAAAAAGTAACATTAAAACTGAGAATGAAGTGGTGTAAAAGCAGTGCTTGGAGGTTTTTGGAAGTTCACTAGAAACATCAAAGTTTGGGTGCGGCCTTCGGTGTTAAATCAAACATTCATTTTGGCCCTCCGACCGAATTTTACGCCCACCCCTGCGCTACTAGACATTATTACTGTAAGCCTAGAGTGGAGTTGTTTTTGGCCATGAGAAAAAAATCCTGTCCTTTTATCATACCAGGGTGTGAAAGTGAAAACCTAACACTAACAATTATGAAAAAAAAAAGTATAGAAAGAAAAAATTATGTTCAAATTAAAGTCTTGAAATGCTATGGTCATAACATTTCCCACTTCGACCAATTGTGTCGTTGCACATGACACATTATCAGTGTTGTCTCTTTTTAGCCAAGAGCGTATTAAGCGAATACATTTTAGTTTCAAATGCCAGTGCTCTAAATTGCCAGCTACAACATAATGTAATACTCCCCAAGGGAGCCGAGTACGTCTTCCGTAGGTGTTTGTTCGAATAAACTTGGTAATAATGTGAAGCACAAGAGGCCTAGTAGTATGCACTTTCTAAGACTAGCATTATTATAATTAAATGAATGTTAGAGAGTTTGCAAAACAATATTGAATGTAAGTAATACTGAACACTGAACTATTTAGATTTTAGATATATTTAATTATGTATTACCTATTATGGAACTGTTTTGATCGTTATTAAACCAGACAATGGGTGTAAACTTAACTGCAAGTTTTCGTCAATGTTATCAACATGACCTCGTTAAGCTATGTGAGCAAGCAGTTCTACAAAAGTACAAACCAGGTGAAACTATTCGCATGTTTACCTTTTATATTAACATTTTAAATAATATGGATGTTATTTATTTTTGATACACATTTGCATATTTTTTGTCAGAATTATTCAATCAAGTTAATAGTAATCAAAGAAATAGAAGTGCCTTTGTCAATTTTGAAAGTGCTGTTTTTTTTTTTTTTATTATTTTACTTTATAGTATATTTTTATAATTTGCATTTATTTATAAATTGTTTGCTTTTTGTTACATTAAATTTGAATAAGGTATTTGGAGGGGTGGAGGTAGGTGTCTATAAATATATAGATTTTACATTTGAAATGCATTTCAGTGACAATGATTTCGTAGATGCTTTTGTAATTTACATATGTATATTTTACCTGACACTATTATTACAATTGATGTTCTCACTGCCATCGGAGAGCCACTAGACAGTGATATACGGTATATATTTCACTTTTTCTCCCCTCCTTGTCATTATGATTTCAGTTTTATTGTTCTTTAGAACAAATAACTGACATGAAAAATAGTTGGTAGTTTAAATTTATACTGTCAGTTATAAACATCGAATAGCTGAATGAATAGGATGAAATAATTTATTCAGATTAAGTGGTCATTGACTTTTCACACACAAATAAACTGATTGCTAGCCAATGTTGGGGTTTATGATGAAAAAAACAATTAAAGTTATTGTTTTTATCGTCGGTTAATTTTAATATTATTGTATTATAGTTAACACATTTCTTGGGATGATTTGCCCTTTGACTTGTAACGTATACATTATTACGTCCATGGATACATGGCACAACCACTTCATCGATTGTATGCATGCTTTTGACTGTCACTTGTTTTATTTTATTTTATTTTTTTTTTTCTCTATTTTCTTTTTTGATGTACTATTCGGTTTATATGTAAAGGTAAAAAATAAATATGATATGATATGGGCCTGTCGAATCTTGTATAGGAACATTGTTCCTACTTCGCTTTGTCCTCTTGTATTTGAGGAAATAAATACAAAATTTTAAATATTAATTATTTCTTAATAAAATTAAATATGTTTGGGGTTTCAAAATGTGCAATAAATGCCATCCTGAAAAAAATGTATCTTGCAAACGTATTTTTTAAATTGTTGTCAGACATAGGCCTATTGCCCGCCAATATAAAAAGATATCAAGTATAACATTGTACTGTTCATTTTTATTTTAAAAATTTATTTAAGTTAACTCTGATTTATAAACTGTTAACTAAGGACAGTAAATCCTCGCTATGTAACCTGGAGTACCGTACAACTTCTAATAATTCTAGATTGCTATTCTTTGATTGTTTTTTTTTTTTTTTTTTAACTTAGTTTGGGATACTATTACTAAGCTTAATGTAAGCACTCGAAAACGTTAACTGTATTATTTTCCATTGTGGTTTTGGGTCGTCTTCTTGAATATACTGTATATATAACGTTTTGGAAAGGTTACCACTAATTCGTATTGCTAAAAACAGAAATCAATATAATACACCTCTCAATGAAAAGACACGACAGGGTCTCTGACTGTCAGACCCTCAGCTAGAGTTAGATGTTGGTTAGAGAGCCACAAGTTTATGGAAGTCGGGATCCACGTCCTGGAGCTAAATCATTTTATGGCACAAATTCTAAATTTAATCATGTTAAGGTTTTTTTTTTTTTTTTCATTTAAGGTGGAGAGAATGATTTAATTATTACCAGAGGGGTTCACTTAAATACCGAAAAACAACAATGCTGTGGGAAACAATACATATATATATATATATATATATATATATATATATATATATATATATGTATATATATATATATGTATGTATATCACATTGATGCCTATCACATTGATGCCTACTCTATATATTATGTATATATATATATATATATATATACATATATACACACACATATACACACATGTGTATGATATAGTATGATAATAATATAAATTAGTTTAAATTTATAAACTAATTATATATATATATATATATATAATAAATACAAAATAACAACAGTAAAAAAACACAGAAAACTTAGTTTGTATTATATTTTGATATGTAATGCTTTTTAAGGTTTTTACAGAATACTGGAAGAGATATACATTGTTTAAAGTTGTCATCAAGACCATTCCATAGACGTGGTCCAGTTACGGAAAGAAAATGTTTAGATAACCTAAGTTTAACATAAGGAACATGAAGTAACCAAAGTTTGTCAATGTTATTGAGTAGGTCTAAGGTGGCATGAACAGTAGAATGGTTGGAACGAAATCCATATTGATGTGAATAAAGAATATTGTACTTTGTTAAAACATTATATAATCTTTGGTGCATTAATTTTTCAATGATTTTGGAAAAGATGCTCAGTTGGGAAATAGGTCGATAATTTGAAATCTGATATTTATCACCATTTTTATATAGAGGTATAACTTTTGCAATTTTTAATAAGTTTGGAAATGACCAGAAGTAAAAGAACAGTTTATGGAAAATGTTAATTGATTTAGTATATTATAGGGGCAACTTGTTTAATTGTTCGGGACGAAACATTATCAAATCCAGATTCTTTATTTGGATACAACTTATTTATAACTGAGATTACTTCTTCGACACTAACTGGGTCAATAAAGAAGGAAGATACTAGTGGAGTTGGTAAATAGGACAGTGGACCGATATTGGAATCTGGTATGGAGTTAGACAATGTAGTATCAATTTGGGAGAAATATTTATTAAAGAAATCACAATTTTTTGCTGAGATGTTAATATATCTGAACCGTCTTGTATTATTGTGGGAAATGTTTTATTGTGTTTCCCAGGATTTAAAATTGAGTTTATTACGTTCCATGTCAATTTAAGATTTCCTTTAACACGTTGAAATTTATTTAAAAAATATCTCCTTTGTTGTCGCAACATCACAGTACTCTGTTGGTCCGACGTCGGTAAACGTTTGAAATGGAGGTTAGTTACAACCGTTGGGCCGATGTTGGTTAGAGGTAAATATTAGGATGCGATTATAGACTTTGTCCCAACGTCACAGTATTTTGTTGGCCCGACGTCGGTAAACGTTAGTGGAGGTTGGTGACAACAGTTGGTTAGAGATTGCAAATTTCAAACGTTTACCGTACCGACGTCGGGCCAACAAAGTACTGTGACGTTGCGACAACGTCTATAATCATACATAATATTTACAACCTTTAAGAACGTCGGCC